GGGAGGGCGCTTCCCTGGGCCGCCGCGCCCCTGCGGCTCCCTCGCGGTGGCGAAGAGGAAGGCGGGAGGGGCCGGAGGAAGGGCGCAGCCCGGCCTGAGAGCCCAAAGCGGGAATCGCGGCGTCAGGGGAGAGCAGCGTCCCCGAAGGGGCCCTCCCTAGCTCTCCGGAGGCAGGCGGGGGGCAGCGCGCCGCGATCCCGGCTTCGGTTCCCTGGTCTGGGCTCCGAGGAAGGGCTGGCCGAGGCCGAGGTGGCGGTCCCGAGCTCTCCTCCTCCTCCTCCAAGCCCTCTGGGCCTTCACGCTCCAGTCCTGCAGCTTGGGACTTCCTGCCAGCCTCCCCTTCCCACCTCAGGCTGGCCTTCTGGCAGGCCAAGAGTCAAAGGAGAAACAGCGAGGTATGTTTTTATAAAGCCACAGCAGTGCAGAGGCTAGAGGGTTCAGCCTCCCCCCATAAACCCGTTTCACAAGCACAGTCTGGCCTACAGATAAAGGCTAAAATTGTGCTCTGTTCCTCTTAAGTGGCACAGAGAAATAAAGCGCAACACAGAACCCAAAACATCTGGCAGAGATTCCTGGGTGTGGTTGCCTTAGTTGTCCCAAGCTTCAGAAACAGCAGGTTTTTGAGGCAAAACGTCTGCTGCGGTTTCTCAAGCTTCTTGGCGTTTCCAGCCATGGAGTCAGAGGCTGCTGTGGAGGTGAGGCACCCCTCCCTCCCTGCCTTTCTACCAGCCTCGGCCGTTGACCGACGCACGGGCAGGCACGCTTCCCACGCGTCTGAGTCTGCAGCCTCACAGGGAGGCTACAGTGGGCTGTCTGAAAGAGCGCAAAGCGCCTTGCCTCGCGTGAAGCTCTGCGTGGAGGGAGGCTGGCTGGCTGGCTGCGAACGGGGGTGCGAACTTGTGCGGGATCCTAAGAACCCAAGGCCGCTCTTGCCGGCCCCTTCCCTGAGTGGCCGGAGGGGCTGCTTCCTCCGCTGCAAGGGAAGGCAGCGGGATGCACATTTTGGCAAAGCACCAAGATCCGGAGAGGTAAATCTGGGGGTGATGGCCCCGGGATATCCTTGGGCTCTTGGCGGCATAATTATACGAAACGCCACCTCGGGTCAAAAACTGGGTTCTTGGAACTCCACTCGTCTTGTGGCCGCCTCCTGTTGATCTGTGCCCTAGCCCTGAAACCAGTTACCAAACCCAGCTGCTGTACTGACGTCCCGGGCCGCGCCCATCAGGGTCACGTGGCACTTGATGGCCAGGTTCTGCCAGCAAGCCAATGCGCTGGCTGGGTCCCCCGAACGTGCAGAGCCTCGGACTAGCCAGACACGCTTTAGCTCACTTGGTGTGTTGTGCGAACCCAGCCGCCGAGTCAGGGCAGGGGCGAGGTTTGTGCTGGGAGCGCTGGTTCACGGTGCTGCTGATTGCACAATCCGCTCTTCTCTTCCAGAGATGTGGGCAGATGTGGAGACCTCCGAGGGCCTTGGCCTTCCTACCGCAGGGCCCACAGCGGAGCCCCCGGCAGGAGCAGGCCTGCAGGTAAGCTGCCTCTCGGGGCCTTCTTTCTGGAGCAGCCGGCTCGTGTGGAATCGCCTGGGGGGAGAGCCTCCCGGGCCCTGTTCCTGATCACCAGCTGCCTCTGCTTTTCCAGTTGGACTTCCCCCCGCTGGTCCTGACTATGGAGGAGAAGCAGCTTCTGGAGAAGGAGGGCATCTCGATTCCCTCCAACCTGCCCCTGACCAAGGTGGGCTCCCGTGGCTTTTCCCCACCTCTCCTCCAGCCCACCCAGCACGCAGGATGTCCATAGGCCGGGAGGGCGAATGCATGCCGGCCTGCCTGCCCCGGACGGGGAAAGCCCCCCTTCCTCTCTGCTCCAGGCTGGGGGAGGAAGAGCAGAGAAGCCCTGCTTCCGCCAGAACCATGCCTCGGGCCCTCCCGCACAGCCTGGCCAGCGCTGTGCCCCTGGGCGGCGGAGAAGTGGGGCGGGGGTGAGGTCGCTGCTCGCGGTGGAGGGCTGGAGGAAGCTAAAACGCCTCAGCTGTGAAGGCGGGGGCTGCTCCAGGAGGGGCGGGGGCCCTCAGCTGACCGCCTCCCCTGGACGTGTGTGCTGCAAGGCGGAGGAGCGGGTCCTGAAGCGCGTCCGAAGGAAGATCCGCAACAAGCAGTCGGCCCAGGACAGTCGCCGCAGGAAGAAGGTCTACGTGGACAACCTGGAGAGCAGGTGGGGAGGCAAGCGGGGCCCGCGGGGAGGAGTGGGGCATCGGCCTCGGAGAGCCAGCTGCCTCCGCTCCAAGAACTCCCTTCCTCCCCGCCGCCAAGCGGCCACCCTGGCTGGGCTTCCCTGCTGACCCGTCTCTTTGCAGGGTGCTTGCCTGCACGGTGCAGAACGACGAGCTTCAGAAGAAGGTGCAGCTGCTTCAGAAGCAGAACACGTGAGTCGGGAAGATGCAGCTGGCCTCTCATGGGTCCCCGAGGCCAAGGCGGGGCAGCCGCAGCC